TAGCAAATCTCAAACCAATCGGAGCAGAATTTCTGGGGTAAGGTCCAGCAATCTAGATTTAACACAGGTAATGTTGATGCACACTAAAATTTGAGAACCACTGGTATAGACTAGTTAGAACCACTTTTGAAAGGGACAGGGAAATAACCCGAATCCAATCAATCTTTAAAGCCAGCCTCATCAACCCATTCACAGGGATTCTAGAAACACCAGTAACATATCAGACAGTGTTTCATTGCTATTCATAAGGTTTGCAGTGGCAAACTTTTTCAAAAGTGGATGACCCCCTCCTTTTTCCCTTTGTCTTAGTCTGGAAGTTCTGCTGAAACCTCTCCACCACAGGTGATCCTGCTGGTATTTGAAAGACTAGTGGCACAGCTTCCAGCCTCACAGCAATACACAGCCACCACAGTACAACAAACTCACAGATGAGTGGTGGCCTTTCAATTGTGGTGTTGCTGAAGAACACTGAAAATACCAAGGACTGACAGAAGTACAATAAATCTGTCCTGAAAGAAGTGCAGCTGGAATGCTCCTTAGAAGTAAGACTGGCCAGACTTGTCTCACCTATTAGGTCATATTGTTAGAAAGGACCATTCCCTGGTGAAGAATATCATGTTTGGTAAAGTAGCGAGTCAGCAAAAAAGGGGAAGACTCTCAGTGAGATGGATTGACACAGTGGCTGCAATGATGGGCTCAAGCATAACAAGGACTGAGGATGGTGCAGGTCTGGGCAGTGTTTCATTCGGTTGTACACAGGGTTGCTATGAGTCACAGCTGACCTGACAGTACCTCACAACAACAATAAATGTCCCAGGTAAGTCATACACATTACTGTTATTTAATTCTCACTAGGCATGGAAATAGACTTCTACTCCTATGTAATGGGGGCTATCTATCCACAGGTAAAGAAGTTAGGACTCACAGAGGTGAAGCAATTCACCCAAAGTTCTGAGGTAGCGTAAGGATCCTATTAAAATGTTCCACTCCTTGTTTGCACCGATCAGCTCATTTGCAGAAGGAAGTATCTTACTCTGGACCCAGGAAACAGTCATGTCAGTTCCCTGTACTGGCTCTCACCCAAGTTCTTGGCAGCCTCTTTCCCTAGAACCTTTACAATATTCTTATGGGGCTGACACTTCAAGCATCCACACTCTGTTGCAATATAAATTAAAGCATTATAGCTATTTTCTCTGGGTGGTGAAATTGTGGATGTCTTTTCCTTATTTTTCATTATCTATATTGTCTTTTTTTTTTTCTACTGATAATATTCAGTATTATAGAAGGCTTGAGCTTGTTTTTAAATTTAATGTCACTTTCCAACAATGGTAAAAAGAACCACATTCTTTCTACTTCTGTAAAGAGTAAACAAGATGACACTGAGGTGAATAACAATTTTAAGTGAGTCCAGAGAAAGCCTTCCCTGCAGTGAGGATAAATGCTCACAAAGCAAAAATGTGGTGGTGTTAGTGATGGAGTGTTGGAGAGGGAGTGTTGAGGTCTGAATTGGCATCTAAACAAAAGACATTAGATACTTAAGTCCTTAAAGGTGGTGGTCTGTGGACAAAATGGCAGCTTCATCCAGCAACCTGGAATCACCACCAAAAGCAAGAATGGGGACAAACTACAAGTGTTCACTCAAATAGCCAGGCAGTGTAGGATGTTAAGGCCCAAATCTCAGTTCAGACTTCCAACAAGATTAGGTACCCACCTCTACCCAGAAGCCAACTACTGAGCCTGGGCCACTTATGGCTCTCCTGAAGCACACTCTCACAGCCACTGTGTGTTTCTATCTAGGGGGTTTGTCATAGTTACCTAGTGCTGCTATAAGAGAAATACCACAAGTGGATGACTTAAACAAACAAATCTATTCTCTCACAATTTAGGAGGTTAGAAGTCCAAATTCAGTGCACCAGCTCTAGGGGAAGGTTTTGCCTCTTTGTTGGCTCACAGTTTAGGAGGAAGGCCCATGTCTCCTTTCAGCATCTGTGAGCTTGTCATTCCTTGGAACTCCCCATGTCTCCTGGCATCAGTCTTCCCCTGGGTCTAGGAGGTTCTCAGCACAAGGACCCTGGGTCCAAAGCTACTCCCAGCTCTTCTTTCTTGATGGTACTAAGGACCCTCCTTCTCTGCTTGCTTTTCTCTCTTTTTATCTCTTGTAAGATAAAAGGTGAAACAGGCTACACCCCAGGGAAACTCCCTTTACATCAGATCAGGGCTGTGACTCAATTAAGGGTGTCACTTCTCACCCTAATCCACTTACAACTGACTGGCCAATCACATCAGATCACATCATAGGGGATGATTACATCGTTGCATAACTGCCAAATTATGTCATTACATAATGGCTGAACCACTGAGAATCATGACCTGGCCCAAGTTGACACATATTTTGAGAGGACACAATTCAATCCATGATACTGCTTATATGTGCCAAATGGCCAGAGACAGTCCCAGTTTATGTCAACTGACCTGCATAGTTATTGATAGCACCTCTTTCACAAAAGTTTACTGGTTTAAATAGTACATTATATGCTCACCCAGAGAAGGGGCATGGAAGTATCATGCAGTAGGTAACATGGGCAAAGCTAAATTTGGTTTTCCTGGATTTTAGTTCTGACTTTCCCACCAACTAGCAGAACAGCTCTAGACAGCAAAGAATGGACAAAAGCCAGGGACGGCAAACTTCCTGAACTCACTCTGGCTGTTTGCAATGGTTTCCTGGAGTTCTTTGTGGAGATATCAGAGGCAACAGCTAGGCACAGCAGGAAAGGGTGAATTTTATTGGCAATCCTGAATGCTGCATTTTGTCAGCAATTCTAAAGATGTTACAGGTATGAGAAGAAGGTGGGGATGGTAGACCCTATGCCCAAAATAAGCAATCCTTCAATTAAACAGTTTCCATGGGCCCTTCCGCTCCAACATTTGTGCTCTGAAATAACCAGAAATGGATTATGCTTACAGCTACTTGCCACTCCTGGTTTTGCCCAGTTTCTATTGCCAGAGATATTTGGCTATTTGGCAGTCAAGTTTTCCAGTCTAAAGCAAAAAATCCAATCAGTTAGGATGGTGATGGAGGATCCAAAGAAAGTAACTGCCCCAGCAAAGAACAACTCCACATACCCCTCCCTGAAGGAGTGTCCCCAGAAAGAATCTAAGAATCCTGATGGTCCCCATGTGGCTACTTTTCATGCTCCATGAGACAGGAGCTTGAAAGGAAATGGAAATTTCTTCCTCTGTTCTCTTGAGAGTTTTCCTGTACAGAAGCAATCTCAAGGCAATCATTGCATTCAAATAACATTGTCCAAAGCAAGATCCTTCCTAAAATTGGTGTTTAGTGTCACTATGTCTGAACAGTTAAGTCAACAGCTGGTCATAGTGATGCTGGCATGTTTTTGACAGTTTGTTGTTGTTAGCTGCCTTCAAGTTGCCTCCAACTCATGCGACTCCATGCACAATGGAACAAATAGTGCCCACTTCTGTGGAGATCTTCACTGGCTGACTTTCAAAAGTAGATCTCCATGCCTTTCTCTCTAGTCCATCCTAGTCTGAAAGCTTCACTGAAATCTGTTCAGCATCATAACAAGACGTAAGCCTCCATTGACAAATAGATGGTGGCTGCATATGAGATGCATTGGCTGTGATTTGAACCCAGGTCTCCCATATTAAAAAAAAAAAAAAAATTCACTGTCATTAAGTCGATTCTGACTCATAGCAACCCCCACTGGGTTTCTGAGGTGGTAAATCTTCACGGAAGTAGATTTCCCCATCTTCCTTCCACGGAGCAGGTGGTGGGTTTGAACCACTGACCTTCTGGTTTGCAGTCAAGTGCCTTAGGCACTGCACTACTAGAGCTCCCACATGGAAGGTAAGAATTCTACCATGAGCAACCACTGCCCTATTTTGGCAGCTTAACATAACCTGTAAGTTTAATATATTTCTATTATAAAGCATGTGTGTTAGTTATCTAACCCTGTTATAATAGAAATACCAAAGGTGGATGATTTAAAAAAAAAAAAATGTATTCTCTCAGTTTAGGAGTCTGGGAGCCCAAACTCAGGGCACCAGCTCTTGAAGAAGATTTTCTTTCCCTGTTGGCTCACAAGACTAGAGGAAGGTCCTTGTCTCCTTTCAACATCTGTGGTGTTCCTTGGAGATCTCCATGTGTCTTGGCATCAATCTTCCCCTGGATCTAGGAGGTTCTCAATGTAGGGGCCTAGGTCCAAAGCATATAGTCAGCTCCCAGTTCTTCTTTCTTGGTGGTACTGAAGTACCTCTTTCTCTGCTCCCTTCTCTCTGCTTTTATCTCTTGACACAGGGCACCCTAATCCTACTGTACTAACATAACAAACACAACCTAATCCTCATTAACATGACCTAATCCTGCCTCATTGACATAACAAACAGCTCACTCCCAGATGGGATCATAACCATACCATAGACATGTTGTTGTTGTTGTTATTTGCCATCGAGTCAGCCCTGACTCCTAGCGACCCCTCCTTGGGTTTCTGAGGCAGTTATCACTATGGAAGTAGGATTGTCCAACCTTTCTTCCAAGGAGTGGCTGGTGGGTTTGAACCGCCAGCCTCCTGGTTAGCAGTCAAGTGCCTTAGGCACTATGCTACCAGAGCTCCTTACCATAGACATAGAAGCAAGGATTTACAACAAATCACAAAATGGAGGATAATCAGATCACAAAATGGAGAACAGCTACACATTACCGGAAGTCACAGCCTAGCCAAGTTGACACATATTTTGCGGGGGACACAATTCAACCCATAACACCATGTATCTTGTTAGAGAGGTGTATGTATGCATATGTGTGGTGTGTGAGTTCATGTACAAAGATTTAATTGAAATTAATTTCTTAATTGAAATTAGGAAGTCAACAAATTGACAGCTAAAGTAACACAAAGAGGAGGTGTAAGAAACAATCATCTCAGCCATTTAGTTCAACGCTTGTAATTAACCTACATAAATCCAGGACGTGTTCAGCTCACCTTGTTAAGCCGTTCAAGCATTTCTTTTAGCAGCAGTTGACATTCACACTCATTTTCATACCTGAAAATTGGACACATAAATAAGAGTTAGGCAACTTCTGTGATTTCTTATGTCTTGATCACACAATCAGTGTGAAATTTTTTTAAGATGAGTACTACACCCACTCCCTTAAGGCTAAAGTGTGTATTAGAGCTTAAATTCTGAAGCACTTGGTTTGTGGGAGGCTGCAGTCTACAGTGGGAACCCTAACTACATTTTGCATCTTGACATAAATACAGATGTCATTTGAGTTCTTTCTGACCTTTAAACCAACATTGTGGTTATGCACAAACAAGTTCAGGGACAAACCTAGAGAGGAGCAGTTTGCTCTCAGGAAGAGTGTGGTTGATAGTAGATTAAGTTCACACAAAAAATAAGGGAACTTGCCTGGGTGTGTACTTTTCTAATTTAAATTAAGATTGGGGTCCTGGCATTGTCTTGTAGCCACCTTATGGCTATGATTCAGGCCACAAGGTCATGAGTCAAATCTGGACCATCATGGAGCCAGGTGGTCAAGCCCCAGAACCAATCCTGTAATGCTTTTTAATCTTCAATTATGTACGTATCCCAATCATGGTCTTTTCCCCGATTCTGTAGTCCCACCTGCAACAGTAATAAGTTGATCTGTCACCAATCATGATTTTGTGGTAATTTCCTTTGTTTTCAATCATATATAATTTGCCCCATGGACATGACTCAGTGGACTTCATTCAGCTTTCTGTACTGTGTACATGCTAATGGTTTTTCCCATCCTAGATGATTATCTTTGTCCTGTCTGAGGCTTAGTAAAAGTATCTCTATTGAACCTGTTTAAATCTGGGGTCTTTTTCCCCCTACCACAAGTGGCAGATTCTTCATTTTAAATCAGTAACTAATGCTGAATTTCCTAACCTACTACTTCCCAACCTTTTTCTCATAACAGTGCATGGAGAAAGAGGTAGCATTTGCACAGTATTTGGGGTCACTGGAAGCAGTAAATGGAAGAGTCTACAGCCTATGGGCTCCAGCCGCTGCCACCACCCTGCCCCTCATTCTACCCCACCAGCAGCCCAGCTACGCTGAGGATGAGGAAATGCTCTCTGGGCACACCTGTAATTCAGTGCAGAATGAAATAGAGACTGGGAGGTGGCTTTACAAAACCAATAGGAACTACCACTAACTGACTTCATTGTGGGTTTCCTATGCTACTTTATTTATTGACATATGTGATATATGTCTGCTTTTTTCTGGATTATGTCATTTAATTCCCTCAAAATGCTGTATGAGAGCAGTTATTGTTATGCTCATGTAAAGATGGGAAAATGGAAGCTAAGAAACTTGCCCAAGGCCTCAAAATGATGCTGTTGCCACTTCACCTGCATATCAAAGGTTTTCCTGTGGGCAGGTGAGCAGAGCAGGCTTCACTCAGTGGAGAAGCAGTGCCCCAGGCAGTCACCCTGAACCTCTGAAGGAAGGGGAGCTGGAATATAAATACCCCAGCTCCCTTGCTCCTCAACTGGGATTACTGAGGTGTGTTTTACATTGGCTCCCAGAGAGACCCTGCACGTTGAACTGCAACTGCCCACAAAGGTCACTTGCTTGATAATGCATTCAGTACTAGCTGCCTCCCCTTCCCTGTGTCCTCTCCCTCCTACCCTACTGGTGCTTTCTGAGAACACCTGCCAGATAAGCCACTTGTCCTCAAATCCCTGCCTCAGGGTTGCTCTTAGAGACCCCAAACTAAGAGAGCCAAACTAAAACTCACTGCTATTGAGCGGATTCCAACTCATAGTGACCCTCGCTGGGTTTCCAAGGCAGTAAATCTTTACAGAAGCAGATGGCCCACCTTTCTTCCACAGAGTGGCTGGTGGGTTTGAACCACAGATCCTTTGGTTAGCCATCAAATGCCTTAAGTACTGCACCATCAGAGCTCCTAACCTAAGAAAGCAGTGGACTTAAAATAATTCAAACTTGTCTGACAGCAAACCTGTGCTCTAACAATGACACCAAACTGCTCAGAAGAGCAGGGAAGCCCCAAATGTAAACACATACAAGATTAATAGAAGTGACAGATAGGAGCAGGCATATTTTTTCTTCTAGTCAATTTCTATCCTTGACTTCTAGAAAGTGATAGGAGTCATTCAGATCACAGCAAAGGTTTCTCTTGGGAATTTTACCCCCTCAAGAATGAGAGAAAACCTTTTACAAATGACCCCTTCCCTTATCCCTATACATAAAAATAAACAAATAAATACACTCACCAAATGCACTGCCATCGAGTCGGATCTGACTCACAGCAACCCCTCCTTGGGTTTCCGAGGCAGTATCACTACAGAAGTAGATTGCCCAACCTTCCTTCCGAGGAGTGGCTGGTGGGTTTGAACCACCAGCATTCTGGTTAGCAGTCAAATGCCTCAGGCACTATGCTACCAGAGCTCCTATCCCTGTACATGGCCACCAAATATCCATTCTCTCCTTCTTCTACAGGGTTAGAACTTTTGATGTGTGGTGTAGTCTCCCTTTGAGGCAGTCTTGTGCACACCACACATCAAAAGTTCCCAGTCTACCTTGCAGTTAAGTACAACTCAGTCCTGACAATAGAATGTAACCAAAAGTCTGTGTTGTGAGCTTCAAATCTTCCATAAGAGATGGTATAGGATCAATGTCACAAACCAAAATGTGTATGAAGTGTTAAATGGAAAACCAATTTGCTCTGTAAACTTACACTCAAATCACAATGAAAAATTTTAAAAAAAGAGAGAGAGATGGTATAGGTTTGCTCTCTTCTTCCCTGCCTTGTCTTCCTTGCCTCTTCTGCATCCTACAGGTTGAAACATGGATGCTGTGAAATACTGTAGAGCACCATACTAAACTGCTCACCATACTAAACTGCTCACCCAGACCTTACACAGAGAGAAACAGACTTCCATCTTGGATAAACCATTCACTTCCAAATTTATGTCTGTGGTTGAAACTAATCCCAGTTAACTCAGCCCAACCAACAAAGTACAGTTGTGGGTTGCTGTATTCACAAATGTGAAAAGTATCAGAACTGTGTTCTTGGAATTAAAAGCCCTGAACCCAGGGAAGAGCAATTAGGAATGTCTGCATGGTTTTAAAACCATCTATGAAGTTCAGTTAGAACAGGTAAGCAAAACATACTTGCGTAAGTTGTACGTTATAAATCAGGATGTCACATATAGCCGTTTCTGTGATGTGACTCGACAGCAGCAAGTTTGGTTTTTGGTTCTTTGTGATATGTGGCTGTAATGGAGCCAGAAATTATTTTTCAGTGGATAATTAGACTTGAGAATAAAACTCAACAAAATCTAATTTTCTCATTGCTCTTCCCTACTAAAAATATCTTAAGAGTTTCTGTAGCTTAAACATGTTTGATAAACAATACACTAAAATGGTATCATGGGTAATATTCATGCTACAAAAACAAGCTTGTATATTATCAAATATCAGCGATGCCATGATAAAAATTCATATAGTTATATATATTCATGTAAATTAATATATAAGCAAATTCAAAGAAAAGAACACTTGGGCTTCATTTATCCAATCGTCTTACATAAATTATTTGTGGTTTTCAATAAGCTTTATAATTGACTCTATTCATTGTACTTTGGTACTTTAATTTATTTTTATTTAGTTCTGTTTTATTTAGTCTGTTTGATCCTCTGAAGACTTATTTATATGGACATTCTTATAGCACATACAGATACATATGTAGAAATATTGTCTGCCGAACTTACATATTGTCATAGGCATATTCCCTTTTGCCTAAACATATCTGACCATTTAGCCTATCTACCTATGTATCTACTTGTAGATTAATGTTTATTATTACTGATTATGCAGTGTTATGTATGTAAAAGTGTTTGTCTTTTTTGCCTGTATCTCTTGTTCACCTTTCTGTGTGAAGACCTGATTTTTTTTTTAATTGTTGAACTACTCAAGTAGAGAATATGCCTAAGGCTGCATCCACTTTCCCTTTCTGCATGATTTTCACCTGGCTTTGGCTAGTCATCCATTCACCTCTGAAATGTAAAATGAAACTCAGTGTGTGCATGTGTGCATATGCACACGTATGATTTTTATAATGATTTTGAAATCCCACTACCCCAGTCAAAATAAACCTCTCTAATGGAGCAGTAGGAGCTATGGTGGCATATTGCCTAAGACACTTGACTACTAATCAGAAGGCTGGCGGTTCAAAACCACCAGCCACCTCTCGAAAGGAAGGTTGGGCAATCTACTTCCATAGTGATATCGCCTCGGAAACCCAAGGAGGGGTCGCTGAGTCGGATCCGACTCCACGGCACCGTGTTTGGTTTGGTTTAATGGGACAGTGGGAGAAAATATATTAAGGAAAATTTTCGTCTAAGTCATAGAACCTGAAGAACTAGTCCATGATGGGCATATAACTCAGGACCAAGTCAAATCAAGGAAAACTCAACAGGGCCAGTCCTTCAATGAGGACTCAAGGGAGTCATGTTTGTCCAGCCAAATCACAGTAGACTGTGGCCTAATGACCAAGTAAAGGCAATTTTGGATCTAGGGTATCCTGAGTACCCAGGGAGCTGCCCTGAGTGTCTGAACCAGCATCTTCTTCCCTTCACTTGGGAAAACATGTGCTTCATCTGAATGTGGTCCTATCTGTGGGCATAACTCTATAGGACTCTAAGAATGGCCTTTCTCCAAGACATGATGTTTTGGGAAGAATACAGGCCCATGGTGAGAAAACCCAAAACCAAAACTAAACTCACTGTCATGGAGTCAGATCTGACTCATAGCAACCCCTCCTTGGGTTTCTGAGGCGGTATCACTATGGAAGTAGATTGCCCAACCTTCCTTCCAAGGAACAGCTAGTGGGTTTGAACCTCCAGCCTTCTGATTAGCAGTCAAATGCCTTAGGCACTACACCACCAGAGCTCCTGAGATAACCCAAATGCAAGTCTTAACCACCCACAGGCCCCTTCCATGCCTCCATGAAGAGGTTTTCCAGGTGTCCCTTCCTCCTCTAAATTTGCTTC